CATAGTAAATCCTCAATAAATTCTAGCTGCCTGGATGAAAGAATCCACTGAACTCCACACACTTGTTTGGAGATCACCCTCACTTATTTGACAGCTTATTCAGTATTTTCTGCTTGTGTGCAAAGAGGAGCCAAGTCCAACATGGGTGGATCTGCTGTGGAACGTGTTCCTCAAGGTCTTGCTTTTGTAAGCCACCTGATCCTGGTGCTTTGATCCTCAAGGGGTTGATCAATCCACTGCCTTCAGAAGACTTTTGTGAGCTTTACTGTACTACTTTGTCACTCTATGTCCCCAACCAAGTAGAAGGCCACGTATGTGGTTCCTGGATAGTTTGTTTTCCAGAACTGTTATTTCCTGGTGATATTTTTGAAGTCTCTAGTTATTTCAGGACCAAAGTACTCTTCAACTATCTTTTTGTAATCACTCAAACATACATATACAATCATAACCCTTCATTCTTACAATGCTTCTAATAGTACAGGCCAGTAATTTTCAAGGTCTTTAAGAAAAAACTTTTCAAAAGGTGATCCCCTTTACAAACAAACCTAGCGCAACTACATAGCTGGGTGGTTCTGGTCAAGGCGGCAGGAGGGTGCTTTCCTCCCCGCTATCTGGAAAGCCTCGATGGTACTTACACAGATCTCTTGGGCTCCGCAAAATCCAGCTGGAAAACCACTAGTTTGTTTTCTAGGTCACAATAAATAACAGTGGTTTGTACGTTGCTTTACAAATCCAATGTAAGCATATGATTAAGTCATACCTTAAATGCACCTGGAGCATATATACTGCTTTAAAGAACCCTGATGTAAATTCTTGTATGTAGTGAATAATCATAACTGTTCCATCCATTTTCAAAGTTTAGATTTTTGCACACTGAGCTTTCTTAAATCAGGTTATCTAAGGAAGGAATAAAAGCAGTTCCATTTTGGCTAGTCTTGTGAGAATAATCACCATTTCTCCCTTCTGTGCACTCTTCAACCAATAGATGTCACTAAAGATACCAGTACCCAGAGGCTAAGGGAAGAAAAGATTAGACAAATGGAAATTGAGCATAAAAAACATCCAGTTCTTAAAACTGAGAAGTCGGTTTCCAAAGTAATAACATTTATTACACTGCATGCAACATTTTAACCAAAAATTTAAGAAAGAAATTTCTTTTATTAAGTTGCTCAGGCTGAATGGATCACAGCACTAAGTTTTGAAATACATGTTCTTGAAGCAATTTAAAACTCATTAGAAATAATAGGCTTGGGCTAGTAGAAAATGTGGTAAAATTTAATCCTCATCCAAATGTTACCTGGGCTGTACAAACAGGAAATTGTTTTGTGCTACTGTGGCTAACCTCATTGCTGACCCTGAGCTGTAACGGCGAGAACAGCTGAGAGCTGAAGCAAAATTAAAAACTTACATCAAAGTATATCATGACAGAATGCAGATAAATAAAACAGCATATCAAAAGTATTATTTTCCTGCCAGTCTCACTGAGCAGCAAGGTAGAGGTGTTCCACAAAATATGCAACAAATCAGGTGCTTATGAAAAAGAGTCCTCCCTGTTCTGCACCACCCCAATCACTGACTGCCCAAACACTGCCCATGAGACGTGAGCAGAGAAGAAACCCAGTGAAGATGGGGACAGAAGGGATCACAAAACGTCCTGGCCTCTTTCCTCCATGGGTTTCCCCTCCCTTCCGCTTGGCTTACCAAAGAAATAAATAATATGCTGCTCTTCTGTGTCCTCCCAGCCATGCTCTCCCTTATTTTCCAGCCTCCTGGATGGTGACCACATGAACTCCCTCCATGAGCATATTACAGTCTCCAGAGGTAAAAGCATGGGTAATAAAGCATTATAGGGAGTGAAGATAGATCAAATCAGCTTGGCTGATGGGGGCCAGCATGGGAATCAGTGAAGGGCAAAAGATATTTTTCTATTATTCTATGTAAAGTGCATGTGTTGAAGTCAGGGCTGACAAAGTTGAAGGACATTTTTCCCCTGAGCCTTTGGTTTCCCTTAAGTTTTAGGATAGAAATCACCATACTTTAAAGAACTGTGCTTCCTCATAAATATTCAAGGCACAATCTTCCTACGGCAACTCCCAAGTGGCAATAAGGACTATGGAGTCCTACAGGACTCCTGTTTGAGGTTACACAGACTGAATGAAATTTGAATTCAACTACTTGGTAGCTATGCAATCTTTGGCAAGTTTCTTAATCCTTATGAGCTTCGATTTCTTCATCACAGTCATCACAGAAGCTAACTGGTCTAAGAGCTTGCCATGCACTATTGAACTGAATCCTCGTAACCACCTTATGAAGTAGGTATTCTTTTCTCCGTCTAACAGGAAACTGAAGCAAGAAAGGCTAAGCAACTTAGCCAAGGCCAAATGAGTACTGAGTGGCAGAAAAATACCCACCTTGAGGATTTGATAGGCTAATGTATGATAAATGGTCTAGTGTAGGAGCAGGCATGTAATAGCTGATTAAAAAATAAAAGCTACCATTATTATTAGTCCAAGCCAAGGTGCAGAGCCTTGCTTTAATCCCCTAGTTTTTCTTTAGGGTAAGAAAACATACTGGCTTTCCTTCTCAAGAATGCTTTGAAGGTTTTTTCTCTTTTCTGCCTTACCTCCTTTCTTTTCTTCCCACTCTTCTCTCTCTCCTTCTGTCTGCTCCTCTTCTTCTTCTTCCAATGTAATCCTCACATAGTTAAGTTTCTCAGCTTTTGCTGCAATGCCTTTGCCTATGTCAGACAACGTGACAGAGGACTGGGTAGCGTCTGAAGCCTATAGATTTGGCATTGTTCTGAGACTGTTTTTGGTGTCACTTGCTGGACATACATTCTGTCCTAGAGGTCCAGTAACCCTGGACGAGAAAGTCACTGCTCTTATCAGTCCTAATGTAATAGTGAATAAGCCCCAAAGGAAAAATTACACTTAAAGAAACTGGACCGAGAAAAAGAAGAAGGAAAGATACAATTGTGATTGGTAACAGAAATCTGACATTTCTACATTTAAAGCTCTATCAACTACCAAGCATTTCTTATACATACATTGTTTCCAATAAGAAATATTATTTCCTTTTTAAAAGTGAGGAAATAGAAGCGAAGCACTTATTATAGGCAGAAGGAAGCAGGACGGTGTGGTCCCAGCAAGAGTACAACCAAAAAGTGATGTGGTCAGTGAAGCCCTGTCCAAAGAAGGCTGGTTCTGTGAGTGTAAGAGAATGGCTTTGGATCAAGGAGACGCATGTTCGCCAAATGCCATTCCATGTCACACCCTGTGCCAAGCCCTTTACCCGGAGTAGCTCACTTAACCACCTCTTCTAAGTAGACAGGTAGGTCAGTAGGTAGCCATTATTCCTAATTTTGTGTATGAGAAAACAAGGCACAAAGAGGTATGGTGTCTTGGCTGAGGGTCATGGAGTTGATAAGGGTTGGTACTATGGTTGGTACTCAGAGCTTTTAATCTTCAAAAACTATGCTTTTTCGTTTTTTTAAGTAGGCTCCATTCCCAGCATGGTGCCCAATGCGGGGCTTGAATTCACGACTCTGAGATCAAGACCTGAGCTGATATCAAGAGTTGGATGCTTAACCAACTAAGCCACCCAGGTGTCCCCAAAACTATGCTTTTTCTAAGATACCATTTTGGAAAATGGTCCAGACATTTATCTTTGTATGGTAAAACAATGAAAGGAGTTAGATATACACTGGAAGTACAGCAAACTGCATTGAGAATATTTGAGAAGGGGTCCATTTTTACCTTTAGGAAGCAAAGCATTTCTACTTTATATGATTCTAAAGTGTCTATTTCCAACCGATAAAAAAAACTGTGACAATGTAGTTGCTGGTACAGATGAATAAGGGAGAGTGAAAGTTTACTGCCTTAAATAGGTGCTTTCTGTAGTTTTCATACACTTAAAATCTCAAACTCTAAAAATCAAATGCACAATTAAGACTAAGCATTTTTAAAAGAGGCCTACAGTGCATATAGATTACCATCCCAGAATGGGTTTTGGATTGAAAACAATTTTTGTTTTTCTGCTTTTTAAAACAAAAAAACAAAAAAACAGGCTTTTACTTTTAAAAAGGTGATACACTTTTAGTGGTTGTTCCTATACATATGTGCACACACACTCACACACACACACATACTCAAAGAGGCTTTACAAAATTTTGCAAAATCTGTTTCAAGGTGCTCAAAAAGAAATATGAGAATTTCAGGTAATTTTTGAGACCAAATGTACTCAGAGTTGGCTACTGATTTGGAAAAGTAAGAACCAACAGGCAAAACAGAATAAGAGGAGAGGACATAGGGAACCATCTCTCAAGAAGAGCACTGCACACAGCCCAGCCTGTAGGCAGCATTCATGGGGCAAAGTAGAACAGAGGATTCTTATCCGTCCTCCCCCCAGGGCCAGGCTCCATAAAGATCTCAGAGAGTTGAGAATTTCATTGATGAAGCTGTCAGAATTGGCAAGTATTAGGGTTTATGGTAGTTTTAAGGTTCAACTGTAACCGCTAACCGAATTTTTTTGAATAGGACCAGCTTTACTATAGAACTCTAAGAGTGCAGTGCCCAAAAACTCACTGTAATAAAATATTTACTGCTCTTTAGCAGGATATTTTTCCAAAATTCAGTGCTGGTGACATACTGGTCTAAGCATTCCTTGATTCACAGTAGCAAATTCCCTGATGTAACTTTTGGCAATTCTGAATATGCTATAATTTTTCAGTATTCTATCTAACGTATTCCCTTTGCTTACTGACACTGCAATTTTATCCAAAAGAAATTCATCAAGTTGGTCAGGCATGATTTGTAGTTAAAGGCGTGCTGCTTACTTACTTTTGATGCCAGTATGACAGCTCTGGCTTTCTGCACTCCTATTACCCACTTCACAAATTCATACAGATATGAAGGTTCAAAAGAACAAAATAACTAACATCTTTCTTTTCTCCAAAGAGATAAAGTTATATTGCTGAGACAAATATGGAAAAAGATACTCACCATAAGTGCAAATCATTTTACTAGCTTCTCTGAAGAGAAGAATTCCATTAGGAGATGATACATCAAAATTCAAACGCTGGGATCTAAGAAATACAGCAAAAAATCAGACTCTATATGTAGATAAAGAAACCAGATGTAGATTTAAAGTGCCTAGCATTTTCATTTATTAGAAGTAGCAGCAGTACAATTATCCCTTTTTTAAAAAGATTTATTTATTTATTTATTTGAGAGAGAGCACGTGCATGCGAGCGTGAGTGGGGGAGGGGCAGAGGGAGAGAATCTCAAGCAGACTCCCTGTTGAGTATAGAGCCCGAGGCAGGCTCGATCTCACAACCCATGAGATCATGACCTGGGCGGAAACCAAGAGTCAGATGCTTAACTGACTGAGCCATCCAGGCGCCCCTACAATTATCCTTTTTTAAAAATGCCATTCCATTAAACAAGTGTTGATAAAATATGTATGCTGATTTCTCACTATAAAGACATTAGGACAATTAAGAAGAGTTAATTTCATTCATTTGCTGATTAAAGGATTCACTTTTATCTATCAAAACAATATCTTGACATCCTATATTGCAGACCTTTCTCTTCTCTTTTCATGCAAAGTGGTTGATAGTATTAACAAAATCCAGGTGTGTATATGTAAGTTGATATAAATACCTGGATAGAGGTTTACATTTGCAATCTCCTGTAGTGCCCCATACATACTTTTAAAACAAATTCTAAAGTGACGGATAGAAGATCTAGGTAATTTTAATACTGTTCATATGCATAATGAATCACCTGAAACTTCAAGCATATTTCAAATACAATAAATTCCATTCAGACTATAGTTTCCATTGTACATAGCTCAAATAAAGAAAAAGAAGTCCTAGAAGTTCTAAATGAGAACAATTCTACTTCCCAGGTTCCTGACAGGTGGGGGAACAGTATGAACAGGATAAAGCATTGATATGCCATTGACATAATATTTGCTTTTTAAACATCAGTTTGGCTTTAGTTGGCTCTGATATGCCTGATGTCTGTGCTTTCAAGAAATAACGGTATATATTTTTAAAGGACTAGCAAAAAATATGAAACCAGGTCCTAGCAAAGAAATACCAAAAAAGCAAAGATACTTGCTAAAGTCCTTTTGCCAGGAATGATGAATTGTTGCTTCTCCATGCTTTTTCAAAATGCTTTAGGATAAGGTGCAATGATAACTTATTAGAAATATTGTGAACTTTTTGATTGTTGGCATACAATTATTGACTAAAGAAAAGAAATGTACGTACATAATTCACATTAGAGTCTGGAAAAATATACACAAGATAACATTTTCTGAGGTTACAGATTTTCACTAGGTACTTCTTATATGATAATTGCACTAGATAGATATGAATCATTTGCCTACGGCAGGCATAAAATATAATATATAATGCAATGATTTTTTCATTTAGTATTAAATGTTATAACAGCAATATATATCAGCAACATAATTTCATAAAACCAAATTTCTAATATGAAATACATAGCTATCCTTCCTTTAGTATCTAAGATACATACGAGAATAGTTTTTAAAAAACAAACAGCCTTAAAAAGAGTAATACTCACATTTCTTTATTTGCCAGGTCTTTCCCCACCTCTTGTTTAATAGATTTTAAATTATTACTGTGAAAAACCCAGCATGAGAGCTAAATTACAGCCGCAGTCCATACTCCTTCCCTGTCTGGATATCTCCCTTCCAACACGCAGTTTACAAGGAGGAACTGATGAAATAGGATGGCTAAGTGACAGGTAATTTGGTGTGAAGCCATATTCATAATGACATATTTTAAAGAGGTAAAACCAATTGGCTTTTTGCAGTTTTTCTCTTTTAGCTACATCTTTGTTAATATTCACATGCAGAGTATTTGAATCTCTGCTGGTCTGTGCAAATTATTAGGTCAACTAGGCAATTTTTTCTTTAAGTTTTCAGGCAATTTTTAAGAAGTGTTGTAGCTGCAAAAAAAAAGTGTTGTAGTTGCTATTTATGCTGTTTTTCACTCTTAAAATTTTTTATTGGAGTATAATTAACATATAGTGTCATATTAGTTTCAGAACCACCATGAGATTACAGCTTACACCTGTTACAACGGCTAGAGTCAAAAAGACAAGAAATAACAAGTGTTGGTGAGAATGTGGAGAAAAAGGAACCCTTGTGCCCTGTTGGTGGAATGCAAAATGGTATAGTCACTGTGAAAAGCGGAATGGAGGGTGCTCAAAAAATTAAAACTAGAACTACCAGATGATCCAGCAGTTCCACTACTGAGCATTTACGTTCCCTCTCCCAAATGAAAACAGTAATTTGAAAAGATATAGGCACCCCTGTTTATTGTCATCACAATTTAAATGAAAACATTGAGCACACAAATCATCCACATACATGCATACTGCCAAAGAGGAAGAAGGACAACTTAGGAGTCAAAGCAGGGACAATCCGGGGGCTCCTGAGACAAACTATGAGTCCATGAACTGCTCTGGGACTCAGTCCCCTTCTTCATAAAGAAAGCAGCCCAACTCGGAGACCTCTAAACTTCTTTCCTGCCTTAAAAGTCTACAGGGAAAAAAAAAAAAAAAAAGTCTACAGAATTCAGTTACGCCGTGAAACGGTTAAAATAGCTGCCCTTCCTCCATTTGTGCCTTTGAATATTTTAAATAATGGTGGCGGTAGTCTTCCACCTCACACACCTAAGTGTACTACGTTCTTTCTCCCAAGAGGTCTCAACCTTATGTCTCTAATTCTATTGCTTTCACCAGTTATTTTAAACCTTCTGGTTCCTGAGTGCTTGCTAAGCCTTGAATATACACATAGCAGGCAGGAAAATCTGACCTCTGGAGATGCTGCCAAATAGCGATTTTTTTTTTCTCCCTCAGTGCACTTCTTACCTATTTTGCATCAGTTCTGCCATAAGTTTTAAGATGGGAGTGGTACATGCTGGCTCTCCATACCACCGCTCAATCGTCGTCTGAAGAATGGGAAGATATGTGGGGTACCTTTTAAAAAGCCTGTTAAAGAACTTAAGTTGGGTCAAAAGAAATATTGTTCCTGAAAATTAGTGGCACTTAAAAAGCAAAAAAGGAATCCACGTTTGCTCTATGTTTAGTATACAATAGCAATTTTATAAATTGCTCTCCCTAACCTGCACAGCTGTACATTTTTGGGGGGGACTGTAAATGATTTGCTCTTCTTTGTAACATATCCCATACATTATGTTCCTTCATTCTTGGTACACACTATAAATAAAAGACACACCCCGAAAGTATCATATAAGTAACACATTTAAAGAATTGTGCTTAATACTGTAGGAAAGGAAGAGAAATTTAATGAGGATAAAGATATATTTGAATTGTTAATACCAGTTTCTTGGGCATTAAACTACTTAAGAAAAAAATGTTGTTTATTATGAAATTTTGAAAATACATAAAAGTGGAGGGAAATAGTAATAATAACCCCCATACATCTATCTTTTTTAAGTTGTTGACTTGCTCTGCTTGGTCCCACTGCAGTTGATCCAGGGAACACAGGAGATGTTAGCTTGAAGAAAAGCTTTGGGTAACTTTTAATATACTCAGGGTCAGCTAAAAGGTAGTCCCATGTACACCCAAGGAGAAATTCTCAAACATCCTCATCAATAGTAAGCAGTGTATGCCTCTGATAAGTCAATGGCAGAGACCACAGAACCTGGAAAACTCTGCCTCAGCACCACTGGCCCTTTAAGCCATAACTGACCTCCTCCTTGACAAATGGACACATAAATAGAAAATTAAGGCCTAAAATTGCAGCAGGAAAAAAACTCTTACTGTGCCACTCCTTCATTTCCTTTTTCTTTTCCTACTCTCTAGGTCTCTCTCTTTCTGATGTTTTCCAACGTACTTGTCTTTTTGTTTCAATGAAAGTGCTGAACTGGATCACTTAATGGCGTTCCTTCCCTGTGTGGTATGGGTAGAGATCTCCATGGTGAAAAAGATCACAATTTTTCCCCTGTTCTTAAAATACATTTCAAGTTCATTAGGATAGCATACGAGGACCTTTAAGATCCAGTCCCGCATACCTCCAGATTCATCTCTTAGTACTCCTGCCCTATCCATGGTTCAGCCGTTCTTAATTCTCTGCAAATCCACAGATGCCAACTTTCTTGTCTCCATTCCTCTACATGCGGCTTCTTCTGCTTTAACCCATTCCTCTTTCAACCTAGCTCAAGTTCACTTCCCCTGGGATGGTGACACTCTCTCTCTTTTGTCAAAAGGCGTCAATCTCTTCCTCGGTCTACGTTCAATGAGCACTCTGACCCTGTATCTCTTAACAACAGATTCTACTAGGGTTGCTTGCTTGTGTCACCTGCCTGCCCCATTAGAAAGTGAGTTTCTAAAGGGCAGACTGTGCTTCCCTACCATGCCCCCCGCTATTGCTATTTGTCCCTCAGAAGCCTCCCTGGCCTCCCCCTCCCCTAAGACTTGGTTAGGTATGTTTCCTATGTATGGCTATGGTACCCTGTGCTAGTGCTTTCCTATCTCTTTATCTCTCCTATTCTATTATATGCCTCTTGAGGGCAGGACCTAGGCACTTGCTGTACACATGGACCTGGCGCCAAGTAGATTTCAATAAATACCTGTTGCTGTAAACTCGTCAACCTAAAAATGAGGTATAGTGTATTTGATTAGAACTATCTATTTATTTCTTCCAATGAAAATAAGCCTTCTAATCCCTTAAGAGTGGCAAGCTCCCTAAAATTGCAAAAAGCAATACTTTGTCTCCCCAGATATACAATGTTAAGGCTCTGTATTTGTATATATTGTATTTGTATATGTTGAAAGAATTTACTTAACAAGTATTTACTGAAGGCCTATTGTAGAACTATCTATTCATTGTTTTAGACTCTCTGGAGACACCAGTGAACCAAACCCTGAAAAATTCCTGCCCTCATGGAATTTATATTCTAGTAAGAAAAGGCAGAAAATACATAAAAGACATACATAATATGTTAGAAAGTACTACAATGGAAAATAAGGTGGAGAAGGGAGATAAGAAGTGTGTATATATAAGGTTTCAGTTGGGTAAAAATGAAAAAAATGAAATTAATTGAACTTAATGAACTTATTTATTAATTCTATCTTGGCTATTGTCAGATAACTTACTGTTTTTTCCACGTAGTAGGAAATATGCTATTTTCGACAGATCATAGATACTATGTGCTATTTATTGCACTAGGGGCGAGGGATCCAGAGACAAGTAAGGCGTGGCTTTTATTCTTGGGGAATTCATCCTCAAGTCTGAGTGGCTGACATCTAGTAGAGATGCTCTGAGTACCAAAATTCGGAAGCAGTCCCAGAGCAGCACAGGTGAGAAAGGATTCCACCAAGAGATCCCCTGAGCATGAACTCGGTGATCACTGGTGGGAAAGCATCGGAAAGGCTTGTCAGGAAACGGCAAAGACCCAAATCTCGGAATCTCAGAGTACCCTAGGCACACGCAAGCCCCTTTGCCGGGCATTCTAAAGGCACCAGGCCCATTCTATTTTTCAGAGCACACTGCATGCACTATGGGAGAAAGCCGGGGGATATGAGGGGATGCTCCCTTTTCTGTGTGGAATGAGAGTGGGGCCAATTGTAATATGCTTCTGACAGAGGTGACTGCCACAGAGAAAATGAGTGATTACTGGGAAGCAGAGTAGAGGCCTACCGAGCAGGGAGGTGAAAAGGGCTTCAGAGCAAAAGTGCCAGACTCAGATTACAGGGTGAGAAGCAGAACCTGCTCTCAGAGTTTAATTTTCCAGGGCCTGTGAGGACTACGTATATATGGAAAGCGGGAAGACAGTGGGAGCCCTTGGGTAGAAGAGGCACAGTCCTATTGCTTTCACCTAAACCTTCTTGACGAATTCCTAACGTCCCCATCAGATAAGTGAAAGATCAAAAGCATTAATGATGTGACATTGCCTTAATCAGATGCCAAATACGACAAAATGAGAAGTATGGGGTTTCCTTCTTGACAACAACCACCCATCCATCCACCCACCGGGTAGTTAGTCTAACTTACTACGTGCTGGGCCCCAAGAAAACAGAAATGAGTAAAAACGTAATTCTCTCCCTCTGGGATCTCATAGTAGGGGAAGCATGGTAATATCCTAGAAGGCAATAAAGGAGTTTTTCTTAAACCTGTTAGGAGATAGGGGTGTGAGGATGTGATTCCAGAAGAGAAACAGCCTGCCAGTTCACAGCTTATTTTAAAGGTACTCCATGAATGCAAAATACGCATACCTCTGTCCGCAAAGCCAAATGCTGCTGGAAGTCTCTCCTTTCTCTCCTGTCTAGCAAATGCCTATCCAACTTCCAACACTTTGCCCAACTTTCACTTCCCTGGCAAGCCTACTTTTTTATTTTTTATTTTTTGGCCCAAAATGCCAATCTCTTCCTCTTACATGTTCATATGGCCCTTTGCATACACCTTTGTGACAACACATTGACTGTTCATTAGTATGTTATACTAGTGAATATTAGGCTGTTATATATCCACTAGATTGTGAGCTTCTAAAGAGCCGTCCATTTTATTCATTCTGGTAAAAAACAATCCTTTTATTCATTCCTCAGGCCTGACACATAGTACTTAAAACAATGCTTGCTGAACAGTGATTTTTCAGGTTTACCTTCTTCCCTATTTCAGTCTGTCCAACATAGTGCCGATTATTTTCTTCTTGAAACACAATTCTGATTTTGTTAGTCAATGGAAACAACAACTGCCTAATTCTATCTATGGGATAAGGGTCTAAATTCCTTAGCTTCATATTCAAGGGTCCCAGGCAACTTGCATTTCTAACCATGAAATCAGTGGTACCTACAACAAAACATCTTCTCTACTCCCCTTCCAAAACTTGTGCTTAGGCCAACCGAAAACCTCTTACTTCATAGTTCCAATACTCGAATCCTACTTGTTTGGTAAGATCCAGGGAAATATCTGCACTGTGACAGAGCCCTTTCTGATTCCCCAGCTAAATGCAATCACTCCATTTGTATCTGTTGTTATGGCACTCATCACCTTCTATATTTTATTACAGTCATTTATGTAGGTATCTAACAGACTCTATTTAATTATAAGCTCATTTTGGGGTAGGATTTGAGTCTAAGTAATCTACATCCCTCATGAAACCTAGCACAGTCCTTAGCCAAATTTGCTGAATAAGTGAGCAAATGGGATTCCTTTGTCTCATTCCATATCAGGGAGAGGAACTAACAACAGTGGTGGAGTATTTACTTTGTGCCAGACATTATAGTGGGCCCTTTATAGATGGCAGTTCACTCACTTTTTACACTATACCTGTGAGACAGGTATGATTAACCCTGTTTTGTGGAAGAGAAAACTGATGCTGAGACAGTAAGGAAGTTCCCCAAGGCCCCACAGGTTAAGTGGTGAAGCCAGGACTGGAATCCACGACTGTTTTATTCAGAGGTTTGCACCCTTCTATATACCCACACATGGTCTTGTCTTTGTATGATGTGTTTATGCATACTAATAAACAGCACCGATGACCTGACTGAAAACCAGTGGACTTAGAGATCAGGTTATGATGATCATACACGTTCCCTTTTCTTTTCTTTTTTTTTCCAATTGCCGTCTGGATTTTTGACACTTAGCAGTCTAAGTATGATCTGGGAAAAGTCTAAACAAGGTGACTAAATGCACTACAAGGTAAGGTGTTTTTATATTGCCATATTCTCACTATAGGGGCAAAGAAGTATATCAACGATTCTTCAATTCTCCAGGAGCAGAACAATTTATCAACATGTTTGCTATGTAGTTGCAGGCAATTTGGTTTTGGAAGGACAGTGATAAGCAATGCAGTTCGTGTAGCAGTTAATGCAGTGTTTACAGATATGTTTTTGAATTAAATAGCTAACCACTAAAATAGCATTTTATCAAATAACCGCCATAAATAAAATGCATTTTGACTTTAAGATGACATATGCTCTTATAGGACATTTCTTCTGCATGCTAAGGACTGTATAACAAATTAAAGAACACACATTTATGTGGATAAAAGGCAAAACTAACTTTCCCCAGCAGTAATGTGGGAATCATCACTGACGGTTTGACATATCAATATTTCAGGAAGAATAAATGACTTTCATATCCATGTTTTTTTTTTTTTTACCATATACTTATTCATTTTTACTTTACTAGAATACTTTGAAAAGAATCTATACTTTATCACCTGAAACTGCTTAAAGTATTTCAAAATATTTTAATAAAGCTTTTTGAATTATCAAATAATGTAACTTTTAAACAAATTTTACTATTATTATAAATATTTGCTCTTCATCCCTTGCCCAAAGGAAAACTATAAATCTTGTCTCAACTGAATGAACACCATTTATCATATTCATTTTGTTGTCAATACAATTATGAAAAGCCTTTGGCCTTTTCCCAAGGAAGCTGATTTGCTACTGAAACTCAATTATTATAAGCAAAGCCAGTACCAAGCCATCCTGTTTGGCAATCTAACACAGCTTCCTGCATAACTGACACTTCACCCTCCGCCACTGACCCTAATAACATCAACATTTATGGTCACATGGAGGAGACAATAGTTTCCAGTTCAAAACAAAACATTAAGTCCCAAGGCCTTCCATTTGCTCTTGTCTGCCATCTGCTGGACAAAAGTTTCATTTCGGCTAGGTGCCCAAAAGATGAAGCTTAGGGAGGAAATGGAAAACAGACTTAATTAAAAACTTAAATTATGATATGTTCTATGAATTTTAGGCAGTATCAATTATGGCAGATATCTGTATTCTTTGACACTGAGAGGAAAGGTTCTGGACTTGTTCTTGGTTGGAACTGCTGAGGAGGGAAACATGAAACATTAATTGCTGGACTAGGCCTCGAGGTGCAGCTTGGTAGATCACCATCAATTTTAAAGTGCCCAAACTAGGTTTTTATGATTTTTTCAAATAAATGAAAGTTTTTACTTTGTGAGCTTCTATTTATGTTTAGATAAATAAAAGGTCGTATGTAATTTCAGTTTATTCTTCATAGTTAAAAGACTTTTAGGACTTTCCATGTTAAAAACTACAGTCTCTGTATATGTACTTTGTATGCTGATATAAAGACATGGTTCTTCAATGACATGGAAAATTCTTATCTCTAACCCTTCTATGGACACATATATCTGATGAAGTAGGTTTTAATAGTAACTAAAAATGTAAGTCAGTATTCAAATTAATATTAAAAATTTTTTTTTAATGCGTAGAGTTTGCCCTAAAACATGCCCAGATCCCTCGTTAGCTATGTGGCATCCATAGTGAAAGACTGCCTTTAAGAAGTTTCTTTTGCAGTTTAATTTATGAAGGAAGTTTGGATAAGAAGGACTTCAAGAGCAACTGAGAAATAGCGTCACTTAAAAAATAAAATAGCTTTAAGGCTATCGAATTCTTTTTAGGTGTTCTGATGGTTTTATGTATAAAGACATGAAAACATATTACACCTAAACGACTTGTGTAAATTGTCACTTCCTGTTAGGATCAAGGAGGATTCATACAATATTATTAAAACAGTACTAATAGCAACTGTTTATGACTCCCAGATATGTTCCAGACATTATACAAAGTGTGCTACCTATTTTAAGGGTCACAGTGAGCTATGATACTGGATGTCTCCTTTTCTAGATGAGAAAACCAAGACTCAGAGGGGTGAAATGACTTGCCAAGGTTTACACGGCAAGTGGAGAGCTGGATTTCAAACCTGGTCTGACACCAAAGTCCACACTCGTCTCACTCTTATGTGAAGAGGGATTTCTGTGGGAGATGTTTGTTTGTTTCTTTGTTTATTGATGTCGTTCTCTGGACTAAGCCTTGGCAAAGGAAAATTCAGATTTTATACCAAATGAAAAATCCTGACCATTTATTTCCCCTTCTTCATGTCCATTAATATTTTCACGATGGCGAAAAACTGTAGCATGACAAATTAAGCCTCTGAGAGATAAAGCAACCTTCTCAGTCCTGCTAATTGAGATGGAGTAGAAATTCAAATCTCCTCAAAAAATGCCAAATGGTAAGATTCATTGATCCTGAGTTAAAGATGTTAGCCTGATTATCCCTGCAATCCCTACATAAACAATCATTTGGGGATGTGATTTTTAAGTTGTCAATATTTAATGGCACCAAAAAGTGACCTCTCTGAGCTGGGTCTCCAAATGCCGTGCTCAGTTATCTGCACTGCTGCCACTGTGCTGTAATTTTTAGCTGATTACACATTAGTTCATTTAGCTTTGTTTCCTCTTCCCTACTGTGCCATACTATTAAACGAAAGCGAGGGGCCTGGCATCCCTCTGTGCACAGAGCTGGTATTGTCACAGTGTAATAAGGATACATCCAGTCAAACAGCATGGTGTAGCTGGTCTTTGTGTTCAGTGCAAAGGCAATCCCTCGAAGATCTCTTGCCAGCCCGATCAACATACGCTGTCAGTGGGAAAGAGACACAGTAATTGATTTTCACGTTAGCACAGAGCAGATGGAGTAATAATCAGGCAATAATGACCACATATCTGATTTTGATTCATTAGCTAAAATGTCTCGCTCAGATCCCTTTCTATAGTAAACCGTAGACCCTTTTAAACAAACAGACCATCAAATCTGCTGACCAACTCGACTTTGCTTCTTATAAATTGAGCTAAGTCATGATTCCAGTAGTTTAGGAACATTTGGATTCTTAATATACTTTGTTTCCGAATAATGCCAAATTAGAAAAAAAAAAGGGGGGGGGAGATGAGGATTGATAATTCCACAGAACAGAGATGCACAGGGTCTAGACGTTATTTAATAATAGCAAATCTTAACCACGCCGGCTTGCATGCAGTCAGTCCACTATGCAACCTAGAGTCTATCCTGGAAGCACACTGGCATTTAAAGGTCCCGAAAGAATATCTCTAGTCACCGAGGACAAAATAAAACTGGCCAGGTGACCTATTGCTACCATGACATTCTGAGAAGGGCATTCACAATCCCCAAGCAAGGAAAAGGAAAAGGTGTAAGGAAAAGAGATTTGTATTGGTTATTAGAAGACTTGAATTTGAGTCCCAGCTCTGTTGCTTGGCTGTAAGACTTAAGGCAAGGCAACAACTTACAGTCTCAGTTTTCTCATCTATAAAAGGGGCTACTATTGCCTCTTTCACAGAGGCATTGTGAGGAATACATTTAATAAATTTATGTAAGAATGCCTAACAAGAGCCTGACACGTAATAAATGTTCCATAAATATTTAGTTTCAGAGAGACAGAAAAAAACTACTTGACTCTTAAATAAAAGAGATCTGATTTGTACTCTGGACTCTTAATTAAGCTGTAATTAGGGTGATGCTTGGGAAGAGAAAAAGAAAACCCAGGAACAGATGCTAGCACGTCAGAACAAAGAGCACAAATAAACAGAATTGCAAAACAAGGGGGTGGGATAATTGAGATACGCAACTGTGATTTCTGAAGATACTGTCTCAGTAGGAAGATTCTGCCAGCAAATGGCTCTGAAGTTCTCTTTTTACCAGATTTTCTTTTTCCTCACACATTGGTAAGAAATGAAAACCTCTTTATAGGAAGGCCTTTAAATGATCATCAAGGACTTGGAAGTGAATCGTAAGCCTCATCTTAAGGGCTAAATAACCTCTCAAAGTAAAATAACCGCTTATCTGTCAGAAGCACCTGCAATTTCTGATCGTCCCCCAACCCTGTACCTAGAAGGTGACTCGATACAACCAGAAGTCATCGTTTATAAAATATTTAGTTTCTAATCGCCTAACCGTTTCTAAAGTGATGGTAATCTGAATGAGTCTGTAAACCCTGAATTTCTGTTTCTGTTTCTTTAAATGACTCATTCTTCTTCCTCTCATAATCTCACTAGTTCTTGTTAGTCTAGAATCGGCTCACCTCCATACAGTTCTCTCATGTGACCTGCTATTTTTTAAAAAAAGCCATTTTGCCTTTTATGTAACCTATTTTCACCACCTGGAACCTGTTCCCCCCTTTTGTAGCTTTCCACGTTTCTCACAGCCTCCAGAACAAAATACATCTTCTAAGAAGCCTTCTTGGAACAATCCTATTCTGAGTACGTAGCTCTGCAGTCTTTCTCTGACAGGGGGCATTTCTATTTTTATTATGTATACTTACAGGTTACAGGTTATGCTTCAAATAACATTAAGTTTTCACATATACATAAGGCACCCACATTCAGCTCTAAACGGGTCAATAGGAACCAGGAGTTTCACTTTCTTCATGCCTAGTGCAAAGGGCTCTTAAAATATCTTTAGACCATCTTCGTTACACAAAAAGGTTAACATTTACTTTTTCACAAATTTTTCTTCTTTAAAAGATGCCAAGTTAATAAAAGTGCTCTAAGTGACTCAAATCTATGAAATTATATCGTTTACTTTTAGAAAATGTTACTATAGAGCAGAGGAAGCATATAACAATATAGGAACTAATTGTATGTTTTCAATAGATTCAACTGGACAGGAAAATGCAGTGTTCACGTGAATAAGAAACAGATTTCTTATGCTCAAACAATATCTTGTATCTTACGTCAGCAAGAGTACTGTAACAGTCTATACAGATACTCAACACTATGGGAGTACTTTCTTGGTAGCCAAAATGTACCCACCTCTGCTATGAGACAGGCCGACTGTTACCTAGAAGTTCAACTGGACTACTAAGCATTCTCAGAGAGCAAGAGGCGTTCTGACTGAAATTTAGGGAAGGAGGAGCCTCGGTTCACCATCCCATTTAAAACAGTACAAAGGGGTTTATTTCAAAAGTTGCCCTTCTCCTACAGTTGGTCCACACTTGACTGATCCTAAGTCTTTAGTGAGGCTGGTTTGGGGAGCCAGGTAGGTCTGGGGTATCTGATCTTAAGGATTCCTTCTGGATAGTTCGAGGAGAAACCGCTCAGTGCTTCAGCACGCTGCACGGTGAACAGTTGTCTGTGTGCCAAAGTGTGAGACGAATGGGCCGGGAAACAGCTGAAATGCGGCTCCTTCCACCCTGACCCCCAAAACAGGGTTTCTAATGGGAAGTCTGACAGACCCTTTACTGTAGTGGTACTACTGGGGGCAGCTATAATATTATCCTCATAATTCTACTATATAATAACAACAAAGAAAAAGAAGGTGAAGGGTCATTGTGCTTTGTCTTTAGAATTAAGATGGCTGTCTTCATCCTTACAGCATACTCTTAATTCTGGAGACACATCTTAATAACCTCTAAATAGTTCCAACAAAAGAGCCGTGTCAGAGGAATGAGCAGGCCCCAAGGTGTTTCAACTGGAGTGTTTTCATCTGCCTTTATTGCTCTATCCCTCTCCAGAATTAAGGCAATAACCTGTGATAAATTATTCAGGAACTGCTACAGGGATCAAAGCAAAATCATTCTGTTAAAGTGCTGTTTGCAACATTTGGCACTTAGTGCGAAAACTTTTAATGTGCGCATGCTGAAAATCAAGGATTTTAAATAATTTAACATTGTGGAGTTTTTACGAAGGGACTAAAGATAGCAGGTTCCTATTTAACTGCTCCTCTTCCTCCGAGAAGTTTTCATTCATTTTCCTTAAACTCGATGACGTCATGGCCAAATCAAAAATGATGCATGCGTCAAGGGAGTGTGGACTATATTTTACTGTGGATACAATTATAGGGGGAACACATATATTTTGAACTAATGCTTTGGAGCCAGGATTTGTCACAGCATTTGCTTTCTTTTTCCCTTTATTATGAAGAGAAAAACCCAAGACAAAAATTCAATGTTCTCTTCAATTTTATTAGGACTAAGTAAGAAAACAAAGCTATAAATTTAAGAGTTTTGCAGCACTTCCTCCCCTCACAACCATATTTCAATTTGGCAACATAGGTCCTTGATGCTTATGTTCATCCTAAAACCCGCATTTGAAAAATATCTATAAATAGGGAGCTAGAAAATGCTGGTAAGGGTTGCAAATTAAATGAATTTGGCAGTCCTGCGGCATTTTCATAGAGATATTTTAACAGCATCACCTCCTGTGGATTGGAATACTAAATACTTTATTGAAGAACAAAACAGAACTGTTTTTATCTCTAGTACTTGCAAAATGAAGTACCTGAAAGCACTTTTGCATGTATTATTTATTCATCATGATAGAAAAATAGCCTTAACCTAATAAATTACATTTAAAAGCATTTAGTGCAAAAGTTTTGTTTATGATAAAGCAACAGATTTAGTTCCTTATCGGTAGCTTAAAGCACCAAGTTTTCTTTATACAAATTAGACAGATGGTGCTTACAGTAGAATTTACTAAAGGTCTGTCACAACAAATGCAGCCAAGCTGCATATTTAATCACTGCAGAATCTTGTCTACCTGCAGCTGCCAACTGCTAATCCAATTTCCCTGATAAATGTGGCAAGAGACACGATCAGCAATAAAGAGCATCTAACTCCATTTTCCTGCAGGGCGTCTTTTGATGAACATTTAGGACGGAAGCACGGAGTGCACTGTGTGGCCTTGGTTCGCGGCAGCTGCATGCATTCTGAGGCACAGTTCTCAGGTTACTCACTTAATTCTGCCACTATCATTACGTTGCTATTGATCTCAGTAGCTGTTGCCTACACAGCATTACTCTAGATGAAGCTGAATCAGGCAGTTATCATGCATCAAACTTGCTCAAAAGCCTGGAGATTTCCCCTTAATTACTTGTGATTTTATTTGCAAATACCGTTAAAGTGTAATCAAGCAGTCACTTTCCAGGGTCGTTAAGAACTTGCTGGTTTAGGGATATATCACTGGAACTCCATTAAAAATGACTCTAGGAAGATGGTTTCTATCAAACTAGATGGGATTACATCAAAATGGACTTGGAGTATAATGAAATCTTCAAATGAGACAAATGTAATTTTTATCAAGATGGTGTTTTTCAACCTCACTGCTTCTTTCTGATATAAAAGGGCACGGAGAGCCACCTTAAAGCTGCAAAGCTTTTGTTGGTCCTTCAAAATATTTGGAAGACATCTAAAAAATACAGCTAACCTGAGTAGAAACTCTGGTGAAGAGTTTTCACAAGATGATGAACACAAAGAAAATCTCTAAGATCCTTTTTGGTTTTAAAATTCTATGACTACTGCATGTTGATAAACATTCATTTCAAAAACTATTTCAAAAAGTATCGCATTTGGCTAATTATTTTCTGCTAGAAGAATTTCCCTAAAATAATCATCAAAGGCCATTGTTTTACTATCTGGCTTCTTACTGCAGGCATATATATATATATATATATATTAGAGAGAGGAGAGGCCATGAAAAATGATGGTTAATGTTTTCGACTTACTCCAAATAATGATAAAATATGACTTGAGCATCACTAACAAAGGTGCCTGCATCCTCTAGAGTACATTTATTAGTCTTTTAAAAATAATAACCAGTGTCAATCTATTTAATATAGCCCAGATACATTATGATTTCAGAAGATGCTATTCCTATTTTGCAGATCCTGTGTTCCTCACCCCCCACATTAAAATATGGGACTGTTTTGTCACAAACAGCTTGCTACACTTAAGGATTTTACTAATAAAACATAATGTTGTCTTAGATATTATGACTGTTGCCACAGCTGAACTGACTTGTCAAATCAATCCTAATACGGCTCCCACAGGCACATAAAAACCTTATTTAGCTATCAGTTATCCTAATCACTTTGTTCAGTTTAAGAATGCAATACTTCAAGACCAGCTCCTATTTATACATATATGCCTAGCCATTTAATAATGTCTTGATTTATATAAACTCTTGTTTAAAAAAATATTTAGAGATGTAGTGTTTTAGCATGAGTATGTGTACATCCCTCCCTATAAATATATTGAGGCATACAGTGCAGGGTACATGAGGGAAGAGAGATGCTTAAAGTGGTGTACCCATGAGAAGTGTTCTTTTAAAGATACTGCCACAAGAGACAAATCATCTAATCATAAACTGCCCAAAATCACTCGCTGACCTCAAAGTCAATTTGTACAAGAAACTAAAGAAGTACTCACACAAAAAGTACAACTCAAAGACACATGCAACTGAGGAAGCAAGACTGATGAGGCACAGAGCACGTACAAATATGCAGAAACCTTTTTGTGGATCTAGATATCCCAGCATGAGCAAAATCATCTTTCATCGTATTTAGGAACAAACCCACCTTTACATCTTCTTGTTTAAAGTTGTTGTTGAATATTTGTAATACTGTTTCAAAAGAGACTGTAAGAGGCAGCATGAAATTCTCAAATTCGTCTTCATCTTCGCCTATCAGAAAAACAAAAGGGTCACCATAGTTTAAAATGCATGCTATTGTACATTAGCCTAGGCAGTGAGTGCTTCATTCAGGCTTAGAAATGTCCCTGGGAAAGGGTCAGTCTGCATTCACACTCATGCTGCATTTTGTACTTTGTTTGGCTCATTGAATATTCTTGTGTTTTGCCTTCTCTTTTGCACCAAATGAAATAGCAAAATTACTTACCAGCCATTTTTTTTTCTGGCTCTTTATTGGATCAAACAGACTCATGCCCCAGGCATCGCAGCCCTTCAGTTCTTAGTGCCCCCAGAGCTTCCCCAATGCCTCAAGGAAAGCCACTTTCAAAGCCTCAGAGACAGGGATCCTTTTTTCCCTTCTCTTTAGGTGCCAAGGCCCTAAAGGGCTCAAAGACTCAGGTGCCCAGATAGCTCTAAGTTATTATTCCCCTTTATTTATGTTCTTTTTTTATTAATTTGTTAAATAGATAGCAGGGAAACTTTTATCTGCCAAATAAGATGGGGTCCCTCATGGGTCATTTGGATTTTAAGTACATTCTCCCTGGGTATACTTCCTCTTGCACCAAGCTTCCTTTTCTTTATAGAAACGAGTCATTTTCTATTGTTTTTTCCCTTGAAATGTAGACTGCAGTTTCCTTAAGGATCCTATCAAAACAGAATCTTCACTTCAAACATGGATATGTACAAATCGCAAATTATTTATTTTTTATTACAAATTTATATTTTAGTTGACAATGTTATCATTAGTTTCAGGTATACAACATAGTGACTCAACTTCTCTAGAGTTATGCTCTGCTCCCCACAAGTGTAGCTACAATCTGTCACCACACAACGCCATTACAGTATCATTGACCACATTCCCTAGGCTGTGCCTTTTACTCCCCTGACTCACTCATTCCATAACTGAAAGCCTGTCATCTCCCACTCCCCTTCGCCCGTTTTGCCCATCCCCTCACCTCCCTTCCCTCTGGCAACCATCAGTTTGTTCTTGGTATTTATAGTCTGATTCTGCTTTTTGTTTATTCATTTTTTTTTTACATTCCACCTGAGTAAAATCATATGGTATTGTTTTCCTCTGTCTGACTTATTTCACCTAGCATAATACCCCTAAGTCCATTCATGTTGCAAATGGCAAGATCTCATCCTTTTTTATGGCTATGTAATATTTCATTGTGTGCGTGCGTGTGTGTGTGTGTGTGTGTACGTACACCACATCTTCCTTATCCATAGACACTTAGGTTGCTTCCATATCCTGGCTACACAACTGACAAGTTATATAGTATTCTTTTCATAATGGGTTTCTTTTTTTTTAAAGATTTTTTGTTTGTTTATTTATTTATTTATTTATTTATAGAGCATGAGCAGGGGGAGGGGCAGAGGGCGAGGGAGAGAATCTCAAGCAGACTCCACACTGAGCATGTGGATCCCGATGCGGTGCTCCATCTCATGACCCCAAGATTATGAGCTGAGCCGAAATCAAGAGTTGGACGCTCAACCAACTGAGCCACCCAGGCGTCCCAAGGGGTTTCTTTTCTTTAATTTTTTTAAAAGGATGAAGCCTGATGTGAGGCTCAATCCCAGGACCCTGGGATCATGACCTGAGCTGAAGGCAGACACTTTAACCGACTGAGCCACCCAGGCGCCCCAAGGTGTTTCTTTTAAATGAGAGAGTTGATTCTTTCCTTCATCCAATGCCATAGGAATTGTGAGCCCCCCACTTTACTGATGAAGAAACAGGCAGAGAAAGGTTAAGTGACCTGCTCAAGGCAGCATACTTAGGAAGTGACCCTATATGGTCCAGAGCTCCTGATTTCGATGTGATCACTTTTTAAACAGAGCATTAGAGAGGAAACAAGATCTCAGAGAAGAGATCAGTGATTCTCAAGTTTGGTCCTTGACACAGCAGCATCAGCATCACTTGGGAACTTACCAGGTGTAAATTCCCGGGTTCCATCCCAGAGCTACTGAATCAGAGACCCTGGGGGTGGGGGTCTAGAAACTTGTTTTAAGAAGCCCTCCAGGTGATTCAGATGTATGCAAATATTTGAGAAACACTGGTCTGTACATCATTCTACAGATAACACAGAAGGTCAGTGGCACAATCAGGATCTTTAGCCTCTTATGGAGTGGCTGATCTGGCTGACCCTCATCTTTTGTTACTTCTCTTTCCCCTTTAACCTTATGCACTTTGTTTCCAGAGTCCAAAAGAATCAAGGACTTAGCTTTGTTCACAAAGAGATATCAAAAGGTCAATGAGACTTTCCTGGTATGCTGTTCTAAACAAGGGTCAGATCTCCAAGTGAAGGGTAAAGCAGACCAGATTATAATCCCTGCTCTGTCAACTGCCTATGCGACCAAGCTATTCCTCTTAGCTACATCCTCTGTCAGATGGTGATAACATTAGAGGCCTTTACAGAAGGTCTTCCTTTTCCAAGCCCAGGTAAAACAGCAGCTCTCCCAATCTGGGCTAAGCTCGCCTGCAAGTACTCCCGAAGGCCCCACCACAAGCAATCCCCCTTCTCCCTGTGAGATGCCACAGCATTTTGTCTACTCTTGACAATAGGTAACATTGATCAGTCTGCCTCGAATTTGTAGATATTTAGGCATATAGCTAATAACACTAATAATAATGCCTAACATCATTCCACCACCACCACCATTTGATGAGGGTTACTGTGGGGATTAAACAAAATAAAATTTATAATGTGTGTATGTAAATTATTAGATCTGCCAGCCTACACTGATAGTATCTTTGGCTTTGCTTCTGGAGAGCTGAGACTGCATCTTTGCATTTCTCAGTGAAGGAGAATGATGTAGGCAGGTAAAGCTCAGCAATAAACAGAACCAGTGTCTGGCTCCGCCCCTTACTGTTTAACTTCGGATATTCACTAATTACCCTGAGTCTCAGTTTTCTCATCTACAAAATAAGGATAAAAATACCTATCTTTGTGAATATTTAATGTTCTAACACATGAAAAATAGAAGATGCTCAATAAATAGTAGGGTGGTGCTAGCATTATAGTATTGGCACCCAGAACAGTGCCTGGCATGTATTAGGGAAATACTGTATTTGAATGAAAATAAAGGTGAATTTTAAAAATCCCTTATTTTCTGAATACCTGATATGAATAATACAATAGCTAATTGAAGCAGACATTATCAAATCCTTAAATATATAATATATATACATTATATTTAAATGATGTATTCTTACTCTCCTAAGATAAAGTATCTTCTAAATATGGAATTATTAATGAGAACAGTGGTAACAATCACTGTAGGCAGATAAGGGTACAGGAAAGAGTGGATGCTTTGAAGGTTCTAAGCTCAATCCTGGCTCTGCTACTTGTTAGCATTCTGGTTTTGGATAAATGAGAGCCATTAACATTTTTGTTGTTTTAAGCTTTATGTGGACCTAGAGAGGTGATTACGGTGGTCAAATAAAGTGTGACCACCAGGTTGTCCCCCAGTACCCTTCCTTTGGGAGCAAAGCTTTCCCAAGATAAAGATATTTAATCAGAACAAAGATAAGTTCAGGACTTTACCATTCAACCCTTCACTTAATACACGGAGCCAGAGATCAAAAACTTTCTGACTCATCTCTTTCCTCAATCAAAGTTTGAGGTGTGGGAAAATCAAGGCACAGAAGACAAGCCACCAACATGTGCAGGGAGAAGTCAAAGAGCAAATACTAAAGAAAGGAATGTGAACAGCAATTCTACTTTAATGTCATATCCTCAGAGAGGCCTTCCCTGACCTATCTAAAACATTACTGTAAAACTCGCCCCGACCTCCACCCACTTTCCACTCCCATAATCTACTTTATTTTTCTTATGGGACTTACTGTGACTGCGCTGTATATTCACATATGTATTCATGGTCTTCCCTAATAGAATGTAAGCTCCTTGATGCAGGAACTTTATCTGTTTAGATCATGACTACATCCCCAGTGCCTAGAATAGGGTCTGGCATTCAAGAAATAGTTGTGTAGTGACTGAATAACAGAACAGGAGTTATTTCCTGAGTGCTTATTATGTGAAGGCAATGAGTTTAATACTTGATTTACTTAACAGACACCAATGTAGCTATTCCTAGGTTCCAAGCACTGCTGCAAATCATTAACGGCCCCAACAATCCTATGGAGTTGTATGATGATTTCCTTCATTTTACATGCGAACAGAGAGGCTCAAAGGGGTTAAATGGTTTGCCCAACAACCCTGGGCTGGTAAATGTCAGTGGACTTGGATCCCCAATTCCATTGGCTTTACCTCCAGCTCATGTTCTTTCCCCTGTCTCTACAGGGGTGGAAGGTATCAGAGGTAGGCACTGAAGTCAGCGTTACAGAATCTTGAGTTTAGAGCTGCATGAAGTTAGAAGAGGGTGAAGAGGGGTGCCTGGGTGGCTCAGTCGGTTAAGCGGCTGCCTTTGGCTCAGGTCATGATCCCAGGGTTCTGGGATCGAGCCCCGCATCGGGCTCCCTGCTCTGCGGGAAGCCTGCGTTTCCCTCTCCCTCTGCCTGCTTGTGTTACTGCTCTTGCTCTCTCTCTCTCTCTGTCAAATAAATAAATAAAATCTTAAAAAAAAAAAAAGAAAAGAAGAGGGTGAAGAACAATCAGATTGGTTCTGGTAGGGAGAAAGGGATTCCTCAACAATCATTTGAGTTTAAGATAGGCAAATATGATACACTGGTGCATTATTTCCACAAAAATGTTTATGTTTCAGTTAGCACTGTTCCTCTCTTATCGCAAGGTGATACGTTGTATTATCTAAGCTGGAAAACTGGTCATTTTTGTTTATGTCATGCAAACAAACTCTATACAACATTTATTAGAGTTTTTTTCGTTATTTGTATTACTCTTAGAGGTATCAATTACTGCTTCTGACAGGAAAGGAGGAAAACACAAGTTCACTCTTTTACAACTTCATATTCAAGTATGCAGTCATATATTTAATATGCCAAATGTATATGTGATCATTTTATGAATAATAATTGA